ATACAGCAAGATAATATAATTTCACTTACCTGGCCTATCACTTGAAGCAAACATCCATCCCTTCTTAAAAGTCTGTGTTAAAAGAGCCGACTGCTGTAACGTTAGCCTATATTCAGCTTCGGCGTGCTCTCCCTTTATTTTTAATTTATATATATACTGTTTGAATGACAGCTTGGTAAATCTGTTGGCATCAAATACTCAATATCGCTACTCATAACAAGTACTTGGTACATTATCAGACACACATACAGCAAGATAATATAATTTCACTTACCTGGCCTATCACTTGAAGCAAACATCCATCCCTTCTTAAAAGTCTGTGTTAAAAGAGCCGACTGCTGTAACGTTAGCCTATATTCAGCTTCGGCGTGCTCTCCCTTTATTTTTAATTTATATATATACTGTTTGAATGACAGCTTGGTAAATCTGTTGGCATCAAATACTCAATATCGCTACTCATAACAAGTACTTGGTACATTATCAGCGCAGCGGGAGACGTTCAAACTAATATCACATAATTTACGTCTCTATGATGATTGGTTGATACCAGAGGGGAGGCTAGCCTCCCCTACGAGTTTTTTTTTTTCTCAACACTCCTCAGCGCTGAAAGTGAACACTCGATGCTGATTGGTTATTTTTTTTTACCAACGGAGGCACGAGAGCTCAGCTCTCCGCCGGCCTCCTCCTCCTCTTCTCTATCACCTAGCGGTTGTAATTACATCAGCAGATTCGGCACATTCGCGATAGAAAAGCGGCGCTTTCCAACTTCAGTAACATGTTATGGTATTACATAACATAACATAACATTACAAACAAAAAATACACATTCTGAGACATGAACTGAAATCATTCAGGTCAGTCCACCCAGGGGTTTTTGTGCACTGTAACTTTGACAACTTTTATCTGCACAAGAAAGTAAAATGGCATGCATCGGCTAACTTTGTCCATCTCATCATTGCACGAACATGAATTAACAAGCTGTTACGCTGTCGCTGGGACTGATGAAGTAGAGAATGTAGCAGTTATCAAATGACTAAATAATGATATTTGCTCAGGTGGGTGCTGGGGTCTTATCTATCGCATTGCAACGTATATCCATTTTGTTAATTAAAAATGACACATAGTGCACGTCTAATTAGAGTTAAGCCAGTGGGCGTGGTAGCCCAGGCTCACATATGGCGCTTTTCCACTGCATGGTACGGCACAGTACGGTTCACTTTTGGGGGCTTTTCCACTGGGTACAGTACCTGGTACCTGGTACTTTTTTTAGTATCACCTCGGTTGAGGTTCCAAGTGAACCGTACTGTTACCAAAACATGACGTGTAAACTCTGCTGATCACTGATTGAACAGAGAGAATCGTCACTATCTGCGTCACTGAACTTACGACAGAGACACAACATAACTGCTAGATTTAAATCAGCACAGCCAGCCAAGGATCGAACGCAACTGTTTTGAACGAGCGCACTTTTTTTAACAACCAAAAAATGGCTGTTTCATTGTCTGTTGAGGAAGTACAGACATTCCTCCATTGATAGCAGAGGAGTGGATCCAGCAAGAGCTTGATGGGGCGACGCGGAATGAAAATGTTTTTCAGGAATCGCGGCAGTAGAGGCGGCGCAACTATAACGACATGTGAATAATCCCACCTACTCTAAAGCGGTACTACACTGCAGTGGAAATGCAAACTGAGCCAAGCTGTGCCGTGCTGTGCCATACTGAGCCGTGCCGAGCCAAGTCGTACCACGCAATGGAAAAGCGCCAATAGTCATAGCCCACTATTGTTAAGCCGGTCGGCGTGGTAGCCAAGGCTCACATAGCCATAGGCCACTAGTGTTAAGCCAGTCGGCGTGGTAGCCAAGGCTCACATAGTCATAGGCCACTAGCGTTAAGCCGGTCGGCATGGTAGCCCAGGCACACATAGATAGCAATACATGCGGTTCACATGGCTTTTCAGAGCAGCAGCAGTACATATGTCTTGGTGATAGATCTGCTTGTTGGGGAGTGTTTTGTTCTTGATTTGGCTTGTATTGTCCCTTTTATGTCTCCTGCTTTGTCGGGGGTTATTTCATGTATGTTATATTTGCAGCAGCACTATGTGAAGCATGCATTACTGTATATGCATTACATTATATAATGTATTATGTACATACATTTAACAACAGGATATTCATCATCTCCATGTATTTGCTCTAAAATGGCTTTTAATCATCCCTAATTGAACACCTTAATCAACTAATCAAGGCCTTCAGAATTACTAGAAAACTATGTGCGTTATGACAGATATTTTGTTCATTCTGGAAAAAACATTAGTCGCCAGGCATATGTATATAAACACTGGTCAACATTAATAACTGTTGCATAAAGACAATATTTAACTTGCAATCATGCTGTTTGTCTGAATATTATGACATTCAGTACATCAACACTTGTTTGTGTGATATTACGTAAATATATTGTGTTCAGTCAGAGTTAGAGACTGAATAAAGAATTTATATATATACAGAGTTCTGGCATGAAACTCTAGATGGCGCAGTCCGATAGGTCTAACTCAATCTGACCTAATGACATCATTATCACATGGCACAGCTGATTGGTTCTCTCCTGTATCGGTAGCCAATGATCTCGCTGCTCAACATTCAAATATATGACTAGTGCTTGTCGTAGCAGTTGCAGCTTGTTTCAGAAACCCTCCATCTTCCCCAGCTCCACCTGTATAGCTAGATCTGCTACGAGGTGATTCATGTATGCTACATGTATCTTATATTTGCAGCAGCAGCAATATTTCTTATATGCTCACAGCAGCATGCTGTGGATGTATTGGCAGTAGCAAGTCTCGGTAGCAGATCTATTCCGTCAAGACCAAATACATTAACATTGTCATGTACATTACCATGCCAATCCCTCCGAGAGTTGTCATAACAGAAATACAGAGTTCTGGCATGAAACTCTAGATGGCGCAGTCCGATAGGTCTAACTCAATCTGACCTGGTGACATCTTTGTC